CTTCAACTTTTGAAGAACTATTTTGCCATGACTAATGAATTACATTTATGAGTGTAGGGTTTGTTGTCCATATTTTTTCAAATCGAAATATATTATGTCTACGGGGAAGGTGTTGCACTATTGTTTCATGAAATATTTGAATCCAATCATAGTTTGCTAGGAGTGTGTCCAACCTTTCTAGTATAGTATGTCCATTCCTTCTTTTATTTGTCCATGTCTACCGGTGACCCTTAAACCCTAGGTCTACTAGTTTACAATAGTTTATACACTGTGCAAAGACATCCATGTAACGACCCGACCGGTCGTTTTGAGCATTTGCACTTCGCTCGCCAGTTCTCGGGCATGACTAGCCCCGTGTGATGTATTATGACTTATGTAAATCGTCAGTTTTGGTTTTCAGGATAATCAGAATAGATTTGGAAGAACAATTCTCAGTTTGAAGCTTTAAATTTGAAAGGTTTGACCAAGTTTTGACTTTTTAGTATTCGATGTCGGATTTGGATTTTTATGATTTAGTTAGATCCGTTGGGTGATTTTGGACTTAGGAGCGCATTCGGATTGTGGTTTGGAGGTCCGTAGTAGAATTTGGCTTGAAATGGCGAAAGTGAGAATTTTGAAAAGTTTGACTGGGAGTGGACTTTTTGATATCGGGGTCGAATTTTGATTCCGAAAGTTGGAGCAAGTCCGTAATGTCAAATGTGACTTGTGTGCAAAAGTTGAGGTGAATTGAACGCGATTTGATAGGTTTCAGCATCAGTTGTGGAAGTTAAAGTTTCAAAGTTCATTGATTTTGAATTGAGGTATGATTTGTGTTTTTAGCGTTGTTTGATGTGATTTGAGGCCTCTACTTAGTCCGTGATTTGTTTTGAGACTTGTTGGTATGTTCGGCGGGGTCCCGAGGGGCTCGGGAGAGTTTCGGGGAGGTTTCGGACCATTTCTAAGCCATTTCTAGTTGCTGCTTTTTGGCTACATGGTTGTACAGTGTGTTAGCATAGATCTGGCCGCGTTAGCATAGAGAAAATTTGGAAAAATGGAGTTGTGCTATGCGATTGTGTAAGTCTTCCTGCGATCGCATATAGTAAAATCTTTGTTGCACTGACCCAACTTTGGAAGCTTATATCTCACAATCTATAAGGAATTTGAAGATGATCTAATGCAAGTTGTAGCCCTTGATGACTAGTTTTTAGAAAGTTAAACCAATTTTAATTTGGAATTTTGTACAAAAAATTATGACCATTATACTAGAGGCTGTCCGGAAGAGTTGGAGAAGGCTATTGGAAAAATTTGTTCTACGCGATCGCGGAGGAATGGCCGTGATCGCATAGGGTAAAAGAAGGGATGGAAAATTTTGTGCTTCTCTATAGCATTAGTTTGTCCATGATAGCATAGGGTAAATGCCTGGGTAGATTATAAAGTACTCTATTTCGAGGGTTTGGGCCATTTTTGCATTTTTGGAGCTTTGGAGCTCGTATTAAGGCGATTTTTGAAGGGATTTTCAAAGGATTAATTGGGGTAAGTGTTCTTCACTCAAATTTGGTTAAATTCCATGATTATGTCTTGATTATTATCATTTAATTTGGGAATTTGGGGTAAAAATTGGAAAAAATAAAAGAAAATTTTGAGAGTTGATTTTAGGGATTTGGATGGCCATTTGATGTCGGATTTTGGTGAATTTAATATGGGTAGACTCGTAAGTGAATGGGTTTTCCAGTTTTGTAATTTTTATCAGATTGGGAGATGTGGGACCGAGGTCGGGTTTGAGCTAATTTCGGGATTTTTGAGTTAATTTGATTATTTTCGCTTGTGCTTTGTTCCTTTAGCGTATATTGATGATAATATACTGATTTTGGTTAAACTTGGCACTTTTGTAGGCTGAGTCAAGAGGCAAGGGAATTCCGGGCTAGAGGTTAGACCGGTTTGAGGTAAGTAATGATTGTAAATCTAGTCCTAAGGGTATGAAACCTAGTATTTCACATCGTTTCACTACTTTGAGGTGACACACACGCTAGATGACGAGCATGGGGGTGTGCAACGATGGAAATTGTGACTTGGTTCGTCCGGTACAACTATTAAGTCGCGTATTTGATTGAAAACTATTTGATACTATTGTGTTTTGGAAAGTACTATTATGTTTTGAGTTGAATGCCATATTTGGACCGCGTGCCAACTATTTGGACCCTTAGGGGCTTTTTACTACTATTCCTCACTGTTTTGACTTAATATTTGTACTCACTCAAGCTGTGTTTTACTGATTTCATAACTCAACCTTATTTACCCAGGTTTGATGCTATAAATGATATTTTAGGATGAACACCCTATTTTACTGATAGTTCGAGTTGCTTGTGAGGTTGATGGATGAGAGAGGCCGAGGGCCTGACTATGAGGTTGATGAATGAGAGAGGCCAAGGGCTTGATTGTGAGATTGATGAATGAGAGAGGTCGAGGGCCTGGTTGTGAGGATTATATATTTATGGATCGGGCTGCACTCCGCAGCAATGTATATGGATCAGGCTGCATGCCGCAACGATATGTTGGATCGAGCTGCACGCCGCATCGATATAGCACTTGGGTTGTAAGAGCCCTTCCGGAGTCTACACACCCCCAGTGAGCGCAGTCGACTATATATATTTATGGATTGGGCTGCACGTTNTTTTACGAGATGTTCGGAATTTAATCACTGATTTGGCTTCGTTATTTCCACTGAGATTTTTATGGTATGAGATGTATACGATTTATGTTTGCCCGAGGGGCTGTATACGAACTATGTTTTGCCCGAGGGGCTGATTATTATTTTTATCACTTTTACTATAAACTGTATTGAACCTCTATTGAAACTGTTGGAAAGCCTCTTCAAATGATTTTTACCAAAAGCTGGATTTTAAATGAGACGATTGACTCGTATTCTGATTTGAAAGCTTGTTGTGCTTACTGAGTTTATCATGATGTGGTTTTATCGTTTCCTACTACTCAGTCTTTATTTACTTTTATTACTTACTGAGTTGGTGTACTCACATTAATCCACGCACCATGTGTGCAGATTCTGGTATTTCTGAGCTTGGTGGCAGGTTCATCGGAGTTAATGACCGAGGCCAACCCTGCACTACTATTGAGTAGCGAGAGAGGTCGAAGCAGTTTTTACCCGATTAAGGTCGGGATCGATTTCCACAGGGAGCTATATATTGGAGTTGAGTGTCTATCTAGATGAGAGTTGTGTATTTGCTCTTAATTGCACTTCTACACATTTTTGGTTTGATTTATAATTCTAATATTATAAAACTACAATGCTCAATTAAACTAAATAAAGATAAGGTTAAACTATTGCGAGTTGTTCAAATGATTAAAAGGCACTAGGGTAGTGACTTTCATCTAGGTAATCAATTGACGGATTCTTGAGTCTAGCTAGATTGACGGATTTTTGGGGAGTATGATATAACCATTGTACGATTCTACTCACTCTACACCTCTCGGTAGTTCGAGTGATTTTGCCCGAATTGACTTTCTCAAGACCAATTGGGTATGAAAATTTGTGCAAGCAATCAAGGTTCAAGTCGGGTATTACTATCTCTAGGTTTAACCCTTTAATTGGGGCTATCAATCTCTTGAGTACGCCCCAATTCCTTGTTGGACTAATTTCATGGACTTAGGCTCTCTTTCTCAAGAAGAGCCAAAATCTACTAGGCATAAACTAGTGTTTGCAACCACTAATTCACAATTAAAACCCTAAATTAGCCCAAATATGAAACACGCATAGACAATCAAGCATCAAATCACAAGACCTATCAATTACCCATACTAGGGTTGAGCCACAACCCTAGCTAGTGGGTCTAGTTACTCACAATTAGAGAAGAAAACAAAGAAATAGAGCCTAAGGGACACATGACACACAGAGATTGAGCATTTGCGCTAGGGTGCTATGACTGTCTCAGAGTATGCTGTCACACCTCCTTTTCTACCACCCGAGGGGTGATATAAGGGAGTTTTCCAATTTAAGTGACATTATTCGAAATGAGATTATTTATTTATTTTATTAGAGTTGCCACTTGAAATAGTTTATTTGGTGTCCCAAGTCACCGGTTTATTTTAAAATCTCAAATCGAGGAAATTTCGATTTTACTTTATAAGTCTGCGAACTAGAAATTCTAGATAAGGAATTCTATTAATCTGGGAGAAGGTGTTAGGCATTCCAGGGTTCCGCGGTTCTAGTACGGTCGCTTAAACTATTAAAATTGGCCTATTATCCGATTTATTACATGTTTTAAACTATTGTGCATTTTTAGCTTTATAACCGCCTTTTAATTATTTTACCTGCTTTTAGGATGTACTTAATTATTTCTTGAACAAGTGACGATTGTCGTACACTTATTTGTTTTGGAACACGGCGCGAAACACACTATATTAAATGCACCCACAATTCACGACATGTGTATTTTAATAATGTTTAAAGTTGTTATGGTCGGGTCACATGAAATGCACACCCGGATTTTAATAATTAAAAATCACAACTACGTCACGGGAACCGTACATGTAGCTATGATGAATTATTTAAATAACGCGCCCAAAGCAACTACGAAGATTCAATTTTTAATAGCAACATTTGTGAGGGCCATGGATGAGTGTTATAATCGGGTTACATAAAATGCACCCCCGAATTTGGGAATTAGGTATCATGACTATGTCACGGGAACCGTACCCATAGCTGTGATGATTTAATTACGCGCCTAAAGTAAACTACGTTGTTTGAATCATTCAATTTCTATGTTTGAGATTAATGGTTAAGGTTGAAGAGTATGGATTTCGTTGATAGGATTACAGTGGTCCAGACTTTAACTTGCATGGGACATTCACTAGCCTACAATGGGGCGTGATTAAGTTAAAGCCTTCAGGTTGAAAGAATTCCAAACATGTTCAAATTAAATAAGTAGGAATAAGCTAGTCATGTGATGCCTCCCAAACAAATTAGTTCAGTTATGTGGTAAAAATAATAAAACAACTGGGTTATGTCAATATTCTAAAGTGAGGCTCTATTAGGCCTTACTCACAGAGCTGGGCCGAATTAAATCCAACAAGCTCAAAGATCTTAGCAAACTCAAAAGCTTAGCCATATTACATACAAAAGCTTTGAATAATTTCCATTACCAATACATGAATCATTCATCCTACTACTAAAATGAAATTTACAACAAAAATAATCCCATTTTTTCAAACTGTTTGTCTAGCAAAGAGCAGCAAACATGGCATATGAATGTCAAATTAATAGCTGGCTGTTAAAGAAATCGACAAAATCAATCTCCGAAAATGGCTAAAAAGACATCAGGATCCCAGTGAATTCCGATTTCATGAAGAGATGCTTGACTTTCCAATTGAAGCATTTTGTTTATTACATCCTAACACCATTGAACTACTCTTCTCTAATGACTCAAGTCTAAAATCTACACTATTAGCCCGACCAATAATGAAAAAGTTGGTTATTTATAATAATATTCGCAAGTAAATAAAGCACAAAATAGTACTATGAGCAACAACTTCTCCAGAATTATAATTTCCACAAGCAAACCATGAACCAAGAAATGTAAACAGAAGAGAAATGCCGCTTCAGCTCATACAAACAATCTTTCAATTAAAGGGAATTACAAACAAAAATTTCGACATACCTGGGAGCAAAACAGAGAACAAAATTTCAAATAACCAAATGAATGATGAAATCTTTCAAAGTTGAAACTCAGCAGAAGTTTCAGCAATCAACATCAGAGGTTCGACAATCAATTCTTGGGAGCCCAGATTTTCGGAAATCAAACCTGAACACCCCAGAAATTGTAGAGATGATGAAGCATAAGAACACACACACAAAAAATGGAGCTAGACTTAGAAATTCTTCCTTGTTCCCCTCTTTTTTTACTATACCTTTTTTGTTTTTGTTTTTGAATCTCTTGAAAACTTTTGATTTCAATGTGAGAGGAGATGAGAGAAGAAGAATGGATGGAAGCTTGATTTAGAGAAGAATTTCGCTCTCCTCTGCTCTCAATCCAAATGACCGAATAGAGGGGGGGGGTATGATTTCGTTATTCTCCGTTTTTGAAGGAGACCGTCTGCTTTTTAGTGTGAGGACGAAAAATGGAGCAGGAGCTTTTTGATGCGCCGTTTTTGTCTAGGGGTCTCTAATTGTATGAAAAAAATCTGATGCCCCATTTTGTGTCTAGGTTTTAGGGATTTAAGGGAAGGGAAATGGGTATTGAGCTTTGGTCTTGAAGGGATTTGGGTGGATTTTGAGGGAATTGGGCCATAAAAAATGATTTTAGCCCAGATTTAAAACAAGAACAAATCCAAAACTCTTTTTTTTTTTTTTTGCAATGTTAGCCATTTTAAACTCTAATTTAGTTTAATCTCATTTATATCGCCAAATTATTTATCTATTTTGCCTAATTAATTAACTAAGCTAAGAATGCATTTTTTTGATTTTTAATTATTTAAAAGATGCATATGGCAATATAATTAATTCGTAAATGCAAATAAACCTAAGATAACATGAAATTAAACGTAAAAATTTTTATGATTTTTCTATGATTTAAAAATATTATAAATGCATGAAATGCAACTAAATAAAGAAAAACTTCTAAAAATCAATTAAAATTATTTTTGGCTTATTTTAGGAGTTATTTTCATGTAGGGCAAAAATCACGTGCTCACAGCTGCCCCTCTTTCCTCGGAAACATGAAGAACTTTCGGGCAAAGATAAAGTGAGCAATTACGAGCAATTTTTTACCCGTTTGAAACTCCATTTGGAAGCATTTTTTGAAAAAGTCACACCGAACTTTGCTTTTGAGGTTGCCTACAAATCCTTGGCTATAAAGGAATCAGATCAGTGTTGCTACTGTTTCTGCTTGCTGAACTCCTTATTACACCAAAATGCAAAATAAAAAGCTAAACTAGCTAAGCCTATCAACTACGAGTTACAAGATTCCTATCTATAAATCTTCTGAAGCTTGATATTGAGTCTTGACTGGTTCTTCCTGCAGACTCTGATCTGAATCTTGATGTTCGTTAGCTACAAACACTGGTTCCATCTTCTTCAGCTTCTCGGATCAAGTCGGGACATGCAAAGCTTGTGACTTCAACCATAGCTTGGGAAATCCGCATCTTTTCTCCGCTTCTACACTCAGAGTTGAACTTCTTTTCTTGTTTCTTCTTTTCTTTTATTTGGGTTGAGACTTCTTCTTTTGGTCATCTCAACCTTGTGCCTCAAAGTAAAAACCTGTTCAGGCACCAAATCAAACAAACTAACGAAATTTTTCTGTCCCAGTTTTCACTAGGAAAAATTTCTTGAGTTATTGTAACGAAAATTTAAACTAGTTCATTATTGAAAGCAATAAAATCAGTATTGTGTATCCTTGGAAAAACAGATTAGGGAGTGGAGCCCTATATCTATACTAAAATCAACCAGGGAGAGGAGACCCTACGTTGGAAAAGTGACTAGGGAGTGGAAACCCTTTGTCTAAGATAAAATCAACTAGGGAGTGGAGACTCTTTGTTGGCAAAGCAACTAGGGATTGGAGACCCTATGTCTAAAATAAAATCAACTAGGGAGTGGAGACCTTATATTGGGAAGATTACCAGGTTATGCTGGAAAATGACCGGGTTATGCCGGAAAGGTCCTCGGGTTATGCCGGGGAGGGTCCACGGGTTATGCCAGGAAAGTGATCGGGTTAAGCCAAAAAAGAAAAAGGTCCTCGAGTTATGTCGGGGAGGTCCACGGGTTATGCCGGAAAAGAAAAAGATCCTCGGGTTATGCCGGGGAGGTCCACGGGTTATACCGGAAAAGTCATCGGGTTATGCCGGGGAGGTCCACGGGTTATGCCAGAAAAGTCATCGGGTTATGCCGGAAAATAAAAAGGTCCTCGGGTTATGTCGGGGAGATCCACGAGTTATGCAGGAAAAGTCATCGGGTTATGCCGGAAAAGAAAAAGGTCCCTGGGTTATGTCGGGAAAGTCATCGGGTATACTGGAAAAGAAAAGGGTCCTCGAGTTATGTCGGGGAGGTCCACGGGTTATGCCGGAAAAGTCATCGTGTTATGCCGGAAAAGAAAAATATCCTCGGGTTATGCCGGGGAGGTCCACGGGTTATGCCGGAAAAGGTCCTCAGGTTATGCTGGGGAGGTCCATGGGTTATGCCCGGAAAGGCATCGGGCTATGCCGGAAAATAAAAAGGTCCACGGGTTATGCCGAGGAGGTCCACGGGTTATGCAGGGAAAGTCAGCGGGTTATGCCGAAAAAAAAGGGTCCTCGGGTTATGCCGGGGAGGCCCACAGGTTATGCCGAGAAAGATCATCGGGTTATGCCGGAAAAGAAAAAAGGTCCCAGGGTTATGCCGGGGAGATCCACAGGTTATATCGGGAAAGGTCATCGGGTATGCCGGTAAAGGTCCTCGGGTTATGCCGGGGAGGTCCACGGGTTATGCCAGAAATAAAAGGTCCTTGGGTTATGCCGGGGAGGTCTACGGGTTATGCCGGGAAAGTCATCGGGTTATGTCGGGAAAGAAAAGGTCCTCAGGTTATGCTGGGGAGGTCCGCGGGTTATGCCGGGAAAGTCATCGGGTTATGCCGGAAAAGAAAAAGGTCCCCGGGTTATGTCGGGGAAGTCCACGTGTTATGCCGGGAAAGTCATCGGGTTATGCCAGGGAGGTCCACGGGTTATTCCGGGAAATTCATCGGGTTATGCTGGAAAAGGTCCTCGGGTTATGCTGGGGAGGTCCACGGTATATGCCGGGAAAGTCATCGGGTTATGCCAGAAAAGGTCCTCGGGTTATGCCGGGGGGGTCCACGGGTTATGGTGGGGAGGTCCACGGGTTATGCCGAGAAAGATATCGGGTTATGCTGGAAAAGAAAAAGATCATCAGGTTATGCCGGGGAGGTCCACAGGTTATGCTGGGAAAGTCAGCGGGTTATGCTGGAAAAGAAAAGGGTCCTCGGGTTATGCCGGGGAGGTCCATAGGTTATGCCGGGAAAGATCATCGGGTTATGCCGGAAAAGAAAAAAAGTCCTCGGGTTATGCTGCGGAGGTCCACGGGTTATGTCGGGAAAGGTCATCGGGTTATACTGGAAAAGGTCCTCGAGTTATGCCAGAAAGAAAAGGTCCTTGGGTTATGCCGGGGAGTTCTATGGGTTATGCCGGGAAAGTCATCGGGTTATGTCAGAAAAGAAAAAAGTCCTTGGGTTATGCCGGGGAGGTCGACAGGTTATGCCGGGAAAGAAAAGGTCATCGGGTTATGCCTGGGAGGTCCACGGGTTATGCCAGGAAAGTTATTGAGTTATGCTAGAAAAGAAAAGGGTCCTCGGGTTATACCGGGGAGGTCCACGGATTACACCGGAAAAGGTCATCAGGTTATGCCTTAAAGGAAAAAAGGTCATCAGGTTATGCCGGGGAGGTCCACGGGTTATGCCGGGGAAGGTCATCGAGTTATGCCAGAAAATGTCCTCGGGTTATGCCGGGAAGGTCCACGGGTTATGCCGGGAATCAACTAGGGAGTGGAACCGTATACTGGAAAAGACTACTAGGTTATGCTGGCAGCGACTACGGAAAGAGACCCTATGTTGGGAAAACATAGCTAGAGATTGGGGACCCTAGGCTACCATGATGTTTTTTTTGATTTTTTCTTCTTCTTCTTCTTTTTATTTTTTTTAATTTTCTTAGAATGAGTAAATGTGGAAAATAATTTTGGAAGGGACTTCCTTTTTTGGATTGTTGTTGCAAAGCTATTTCTAGCCCTTGCACATTTTATTTTTGGTTGCACTTGCTTCTTGTAAGGTTGCTTTGAATTACACATGTTTTCTGTTTTTCAAACAAAGAACAATTTGTCAGTTTGAAACGGTGGTTGGTTTTGTGGCCTTGATAATTTCAACCACTTGATCTTGACCCGGCTTCTTTGATGAAGATTTCAATCGCAACTGCTTGTTCCCTGAGGACCGATTTCATTTCTGACCCTGAAGAAACCTCTAGCTTTGCCAGATTTTGCCATGATGGTCGGTCATGTGGAACTTAATCTTTTCGACTTGATTTTGCCTCTATAGGCCCTTCCCATCTGACTTGTTGTTTTTTTTTTCTCTTTTTTTCTTTTTCCTTCCTTTTTTATGCTTCGAAGCATTGGGAAACTTTTGGCTCCTCAAACTTGCTGCAACGGCTAGTCGCGTGGGACTTAACCTTTTCCAACTTTATTTCGCCTTTGTAGGCATTTCTTTTCTGGCTTCTTTCTTCCAACTTCAATTTCAGAGCATTTGGGGTATATTGGCTTTTTCAAATCTTTGTTGAGACGGTTAGTCACGTGGGACTCAACCTTTTCAACTTCCAAGAGTTTTCAATTTCAAAACATTAACCACCAGGGCTTGTCGAAGTCGAATTGACGCCTGTGACGAGGATGGGTGCCTTATTGCACATTAGCTCATGTCAAATGAGAACCCTGTAAATTAGTCTTGCTATTCCTTCTTTGTATCAATTTCAGAATAGAATTAGACCGAAAGGGATTCAAAGAAATACAAACAACGGAATGGACAATGAATTTGAACAAAAAGTGTCCCTGTTGGGGAAAGGAAAGAAGGACTTATCTGGAGTACATGAGGACTTCAATGAACATGACATGCCTTTTGTACTGGATGCCTGATCTGTGTAAACCGTCTGACTCTCAGAAATTCATCACAACTTTTGCCTCAAAATTGAGAAACCTAGCCAATACTCTATTGATGCCGATGGCTGTGAGAATCCTCTTTTCGATCAGGGGCGCCCTTTGCGGGTTTTCACGATCTAACCTCTCTCATTTCTCTTCTCACAATCGCCTTATAGTGCTCTTTGCGAGTTTTCACTAACAAGACTCTCTCATTCAATTTCTCTGCTTACTGTCGCCTCACGGTGCCCATGTGGGTTTTACCAATAAGACTCTCTCATTTTATTTCTCTCATATTGGTTGTATTGGATCCAAGTAACTGTATTCTTCTATCCTTGAACATTCTCACCAATTGATCGGAAGGACTTGAACAGGGTTTGGGTATAAAGGAATTTGGATTAAGTTACAACTTTGGAACCTTTTGGGCGAGATCATCGCCGAACCATTATAATATCTGCCCCAGTTTCACTTTTTTGGGGGACTTTGAATTTTTATTTTTGGTGTGACTGAACACCAGAGAGAGACTACCTACATATCCTTTTAGAATCAAGTAG